ACGCCTATCGCTATCACTAATGAACTTTGGATATTCAATACACTAACATTGTCTTGGAGTTTAAGCAATGCAATAGATGCACCTTCATCTCGGGCTAGTTATTGTGCAATAACTTTGCCTGATGATAACATTTTATATATTGGTGGAATTAGTCCTAGTTTGTCATTACATATGCCAATGAATAATGTAAGTGTAGTGTTGTCTTTTAATAAAATTGACCTTTTAATTTTATTTATTAATGTTTACAGTTACCGTTATATAATACAAAAACTAATACGTGGATAACTATGGTACGTAACGAATAAATTCAATTTTGATTATATGATACATCGATATTACAATTAATAATCAATCTAATATCTTATTAGAATACATCTGGCACAACTCCTCCTGATCGCCGTTATTTCTCAGCAGTATTAAGTATGTATTTAATAACATAAATAATTGTTCTAAGTACAAAGTTTCTTTTATTAATCATTTAAATTGAAAGCTCCTGACGGGCGTATCATTATATTTGGTGGTCTGAAATTTAATAGAACTGGTCCCGATACGTACTATGGTGATCTGTGGACTTTAGATATTGCAACGTATCAATGGTCAGTTGGAAACATTTTAAACCCAATCATGGATCTGACTCTTGCTGGCCATACTGCAACATTATTGGATAATTATATGTTTGTTGCTTTTGGTAAAAGTTGAATTATTTTATGCTGTTAACGCAAAAATACCGTTCTTGACGGATCATCGGTACTGTTCCTGATAAGATCGAAAAAAGTATCGTTCCTGCCAGGGTTCTAAAAAACTACGTTACTATCGAATTAGTAAAGTTACGGCGTAAAATTTGGCAGCCCAATTGTTACTGTCCAATCGATTGTAAGGTCAATATGTAACATACAAAATTCAACATTCAAAAAAAAAGAAATAAATTGTATATTTAGGTAAATGTCGAGATCAATATTATGGATCAAATACGGGTCATGACCTTAGCATTCAGTTACAACCAAGCATTGTTATGAGAATCGGCATCGGAGTTTTAAGAACTCCATATCGATTTCTTTTTATTCCATCAGAAATAGTACCGATAATCCATCAAGAACGGTATTTACACTTTATTTTTATTTAACCTTTTATTTTTAACAGGTAGATTTTCGAATTTGAGTTCTTCATCAAAAATATTTATGTTAAATGTAAGCCAAAAAGATTCCTATAGATGGGTTACTGAATTCACTCCAAATATTATATCTACAATTTCAAGTAATCCAATTTCAAGCAATACAGATTCTAAAAATACTAGCTTAATTATTGGAGCCATCATTGGTAGCATCATTTTTTTAGTAATATTTGCGATTGCTATTATTTTAACTTTAAAATTTATTGATCAATATAAATAAATAAGCAATCAAATTTATTCTAAATAATGCATGATCAATATAAATAAATAAGCAATCAAATTTATTCTAAATAATGCAACAGCAGTTAGTTAACATGTTACAGAGTCTACTAGTTAAATAATTTGATATATCTTAATTCTATATATAAAATTATAATTTTTTAGTAATATTAAACCTAATTAAACGAATTGTATTAACTGTAGTTTAGATAATAATCTGTTATTTCGCTAAAG